GTTGAGTCGAGCACGTGAGACGTTCGTTGTGAATTATAGCGTTTTTTATAGCGTAACTGTAGAAATTAAGTGTATTGCAGAGTTGTATTCAGAAATAATAATCCAGTTTTATTTAAAAAAGGACTTGTATCGCTAAAGTTTCATCGGAAAGAAATTTACAGAAAATTAACTGACGACGAGAGACGTAACAATATAATAAAAATGTATGAATATTGAATATATTAACATGTCGATATAATAAAAGGACTGTAGATTGAATGTGTAAACGTATCGGTATAATAAAACGATTGTGTTTATATTACTATGCACTTGCGTGCACTTACGCAGGGGAGTTTGAGAGTGTTCGGCTGAATCCCCTATTTTTGTGGTGTATTGTTTGTTTGTTTTTGAATTTCGCGCAAAGCTACACGAGGGCTTTCTGCGCTAGCCGTCCCTAATTTAGCTGTGTAAGACTAGAGGGAAGGCAGCTAGTCATCACCACCCACCGCCAACTCTTGGGCTACTCTTTTACCAACGAATAGTGGGATTGACCGTCACATTATAACGCCCCCATGGCTGAAAGAGCGAGCATGTTTGGTGGGACGGGGATTCGAACCCACGACCCTCGGATTGCGAGTCGAGCGCCCTAACCACCTGGCCATGCCGGGCCTTTTGTGGTGTAACACAATTATGCTTATATAGTCATAGCACAGCTGCTTATGGTTTTTAACGTTTTGGATGTTTGTGTATTTTATGTGAATAGATATGTAATTGTTTAAGTTATATTTCGTGCAAAAATTGCTTCCATATTTAATCTCATAGCACCAATTTTTTACAAATTTTCTGGGGGCGTGCCCCCAGACCCCCGTAAAATTAGCATGCTTTGCATATTGATTGCACTTCGCACAATATGAGTTGGCTTTTGATCTCACAAATTAGAAAACCCTTTCAAACATTTTACATACGGGCCTGACTTGTAGATTTATTATATAAACGTGTTGATACTATAAATTGTCGTGAAAATTAATTGTATACATTTGTTTGTGTATAAATATATATATGAACATATTGAGGTAATAAATACACATGAAGAATAAGTCTGGTGACGTGTCAATATAATAAACTTAAGTGAAGTCTACTTACGTTAACGTTTAAATATAATAAAACATGGAGCCTAAGTACGCAAGTATGTTGATATCATAAATCAACATGAAGAATAAACAGTTAACATTATCAAGTCTTCTTCTGACACAGAATTTCAAAATCTAGAGATCCGTTTCTCCTGATGAATAGTCATTTCGGGAGCACTGAAAGTTCATTAATCTGTTAAGGATATATTTTTATTTCTGGCCTTTAGAGAAATTTGGTCTTAAGTTTAGTAAAATTTATCTCTGTGTGACATAATGTTTCTCAAGCTGAACGCTACCCTAACACAGGATATTTTTTCGTTATCATTTGTTTATACGTAGTACCTGGCGCTCTCACTCTTTAAGTTTTCTTTTCTTTTCTTTTTTCAAACATAAGCACATCAAGCACTCGTGCTGTATCAAACATTTAATGCCTACAGAATGTTGCGACCTTATTCCCGCGCTAATCAAACATTTTCAAGAGTCATTCTCTTTTGTTGTTCTTACTCTCCTGTGGAAAATGCCGTTCGAAAATTCATTATCTTAGTACTAATATATTTTCTAGTGACAACGGTCGTGTAGAGGCTTAGGCATACATGGTAGATTTATCCCCTTATTTTTACTTAAAGGATGACCAAATGACACGGGTAACAAGTACAGTTTGTAAAAATATATATAGTGGTAAGTTCTCTTCCGACACAAGAGTCTCAGCATCTAAATAGTACTACTATCCTGTGTTTGTTTTGTTTTTTCACTCATCTCACCTGTACTGAGGTATATATCTATTTGTCTAGTGTCACAAATAAACGTCATGTTTTACAATAAGAATGAAAATGTGTAGGTATACAAAATAATATGTTAAAACAAGCTATAGAAGCTCGTGACGAAGTTATCACAACATATATAAACACATTCTTCAAAATTGTACGTGTAAAATCCCTTTGGTTTCACCTTCAGTTAATATATTAAATAAAAGTTTTATTTTCCTTAATGATCCATTAGTAGTGTTTGAAATATTGGACACAAATGCATCACATGAATTTATAATTCCAACTAATAAAATTATATCTTAATCTGCCGATAAACGGCGGAAAATAAAATGTGTGTGTTTTTTTATTTGTTTTACAAAACCTTGAATTTCCTTGTATAGAAATACAAGTTGATTTCCAATTAGAAAGGCGTATCGTAACACTTCAACCACAATTTATATATTGTGTGCAATTGCCCACGAGGTCTTGCTCATTATCAGAGCTCAATGGACTGGATGAGATACAACACTTTCAGTTACAGCCTTTTTTGTATGTAACTATAATTGCAAAGCATTGTTCATATTAGCCTAATTTTAAGTCACTTTTCACATTTCCCTCTTAAACTAACAAAAGTTTAATTTCTTAACATAAAAAGGATAGTTTAATATTTTCTCCTCTTTTAAAGGGTATATAAAACCAGCATCATACCAAGATTAGGAAATGTGTATATAGTGTTGAATATTCATGCTCTTTCTTGCTTACATCTATAAGTTTGATGACGAGATGAAATATGAATTACTATAAACAGTTGGAGGTTATTAATATCTAGCTGGTTTGAATGCAATACATTTAACCTTTTCATGTAAAAAATATAGCCTGTATAGAATGGATAGTAACTTTATCTATCTATGGCGAGGACAAGATACAACGAAAAATATGTATTGAAATAAAACTTTGAGTTTATTTAACTACACAACCTAATAAGATAATATGTTTTTAAAATTAATGAACTTCATCTGTTTGAATCACTCTAAAACGTAAAAATTCTTTTTGTGTATAATACTATGCAAAAAACAGATTGAGAAACAAAACCACGTTGAACTTTTCCAAAACCAAAATATTTTCAATATTCACTTAAAACTTCTGATAAAAAAATCAAATATTCTATCGCCTCTCAGTGGCACAGCGATATGTCTGCGGACTTATAACGCTAGAATCCGTGTTTCAATACCCGTGGTGGGCAGAGCACAGATAGCATATTGTGTAGCTTTGTGCTTAATTACAAACAAATATTCTATCAAAATTCGTAAAAGTGATTATTTGTTCTACAAGGTAAATTACAGTGAATATCAAGAAATGTTATAAAAGGTACACTAAAGAACTAGTCACTAATGAGCTAATATTGGACTATGTTTATTTGCCGCTTACTTAGTCGCTCTTTTCCAGCAACTGACGATCAAACAGGTACTCTCCCATCCCATCATTCATAGCGCCAAGCTGACTGGTGTAGGTCTTCAGTTCATTAATGGAGATCACTTGTTCAGTGAGAAACTCTCCTTCAATGAAGTCCATCATCTGAGAAAAGAAATTAAGAATTAGCACCATATACTTATAAGCAAAACTGTTTTTATAATAACATATTCATACCTCTTTCAAAATACTCAGCGTGTATAATAAGCAAAGTACCAAGGGTTGCTTGTTCACCCAGTAAAATAGCGCATAAATTATAATTACTAATCAGTGAATTAAGTACTGGCCTGTTAGTTTTCAGAAAGTGTTTGAACACAGTTAACAACATGACGTTCATTTAATCACACAAATGAGTTCGTTAACAGGCTACTCCTACTACCACAACTTGTTGCTGCTTAGTAATTGTTTTTCACTTGAAAAGGCCTTAGAACGTAATACGTTTTCACCCCAAGATGCGTTATGCTCAGGATTGTCTTACTTTTGAGGATATCGTAAGAGTCATGTGATGTAAATATTTTTATAGTGTCATGTTCTTATGATCTATACAGCACACCGTCTAGTCTTAACCTATAGCTGTTTTTGTTTAGTTTTTAATAGACTGGTTTAATTGATGGTTATTACAACCAATTATAAATAAAATATATTTATTTATAATAAGCTTTCTGAAATCTAACCAACAAGACAATAGAACAAAAGACTCCAACTTTCTTTCAGAGGCGTTATTAGATATTACTATACATAGTTTCTTAGGATTCAGTGGCATAAACCAAAACAGAGTAAACTAAACGTATTTTTCTACTAGTACATATGTGTACCGTTTTCCTCGGATAAAACTATCCTGGACTATGATCCCTATAAAAATAAGCATCTTTATTACTTGGATGAGGATATTTTAAATATCTATAACTGATTTTTTTTATTTTATTTACTTTTTTTTTTATTTTGCTTAGCTGGCGATGTTCCTGTGGACATCCTTGTAAAATGGCTCTTTACCAACCCTTGGTGTTAACTTACGTGTGGATCATTGCATAATCTGTCAGCCATGTGATGAATATGGTGCAGCTTGTTCTTAACTGGCTCTTTACCAACCCTTAGTGTTAACTTACGTGTGGATCATTACATAATCTATCAGCCATGTGATGAATATGGTGCAGCTTGTTGTTAACATGCTTCTCCATATTCAAAGCATCTTCCAGCGCTTCCATTCCATTCTCCCAAGTGTCTTTATTTGGCATCTATGGAGATTACAATACATGAAAGTTAATAAAAGCATTAATTACTAAATCAAGCAAATCAGTGCATAATATTTTCTTTTTCAAGAAATATTTATTCTTTATAATGGAAAAGCCAGGATACCACATTAATGAAATCTAATGTTCTTCATAATGTTTAATCACTAAATCTTGTTACGTCCAAGCACAAGATTAACGTGAGAGGATGGTATTCCTATATACACAAGTAAACTTAGACTTATACATCAAAATACTTATTCATATACATTATTACCGTTGTTTACTAAAATATCATTAATAGCATTATCAAGCAGCATGTCTGACATTATTCTGATCGTTATGAAAGGAAATAACCAATGAATTGTGTACATGTACAAAACAAACTAAGACTTGTCATGTAATTGACCCACATTTTTGTTATTGATATACCAACACTTAACATAAATACGCGTATATTTTCCAATGAAGATTTTCAAAACACTGAAAAGCTAAATTAAAACTGGCAATAGCTAAATGATCTAACAGTGACCATTTATGGATCTAGCAGATAGTTTTAGATTATATTTAAATGTGCTAGTCTGGTAAATCTATAACTGATTAATTTGTACAATAGATAAGCGTTCCCTTAAATATACATGACAAATGATTCAGTTTCTAATTTATTCATTGTACAAAAATAACATAAAATCACAAAAAAAACGATTTTTAATTTTTTAAGTTACAAAAACTAAAACGTTTTTATAATATTTTACTCCGTTTTGTCTATATAAAACTAATATTTCAAAATATACCTTTATGTCCAAAGCAATAACTTTCCCACTTCGTTTGTTAATGTAATCGATAAGTTTTTGTGCATGCTCTCGTTCTTCATCAGAGCTGTGCTTGAAGAATGTGCTGAATCCTTTCCTACCAACAGAATTACTGCCAAAATGAGCTGCCATATTCATGTACACCAAACTAGCATGCATTTCTTCATTGATCTGTCGCTGGATAGCGCTAACGCATCGGTCGTCCAAAGAGTAACGGTCGGTTCTGGGTTCTTTCATGTCATTGTCTTTTCACAGCACACAGAACCATTAAATTAACAAATTAAACAAATTAAAACAATATAAGCTGTTAAGACTACAGTTTGCATTTGAGCCAATAGTAATACAAAATATACACAGACCTTGGAAAACTAAAAATGTTCATGAACAGATGTAATGTGAATAGCTATTTCTCATTCAGGTTTAAACTGTCTCAAACACATACAAATTGCTTGATAGAGTCTCTCTCTAACGTGTCCAAGTTTGAGTGTAAAGTTGTACAATGGACTATCTGTGTTGTGTCCTCTGTGGGGTTTGAATCCTGAATTTTAATGTTATAAGCCATGAAGCTAAATACTTAGCCACATAATGACACATAAAAACATACGTGAAACTGTAGTCAAAGTGCAGAATAACTTCACGCTAATCTAAGCGTAAGACTGCCGGTTTAATATTATACATCCAAACTTGTCACTGGCACTGTTTTAAGCTTTGCGTATTAAAAAAACATAAAAGATCAGAAATATGCCTAACTAAGAACAAATTGTTTAATTTCAATAAAATGTTAAGAGAGATTCAATTTCCTTTCATTTAATACTAGGGGAACACTCATGCTTCGAGTACGAAACATTTTGTATTTTTGGTTGTGATATTTTGTTTGTTTGTAGTTAAGAACAAAGCTACACAATAGGCTATCTGTGCTGTGCCCAAGACGAGTATCGAAACCTAATTTTCAGCGTTATAAGTCCGCGGACTTACCACTGAACTACTAGGAGGCTTAGTATTTCAATGCACAAAATTTATAAAATGTAACAGTCACAGTAACTTCATCAAGGTCTTCACTGTTTCCCATCTCAAAACCGGGTAGAGTTTCTTCTTCGACAGTGGCTTTTTCAGGTGACACGTCTTCAGCAGCATCATTTGTTCCGTTGTTCACTTCGTTCCAACTGAAATGTCCTGGACCATGATAACGCGAAAGCCTGTTGGCATGCACCACCTTTGGTTTACCTCGCCTACCACATTTTATTCGGAAAGTCAAGTCTGAGAGACGATCCACTTTGTCATATGGGCCTTCCCATGGAGAAGACAACTTAGGAGACTTCCCTTTGGTCTTGCTGGGATTATACAACCACATCTTGTCTCCTGGTACAAAGCTTCATGTAATCAGCAGGCGTTTTCAAGTTTGAACGTGCTTGATGGTGAATATCATCTATTCTTTCAGATAACACTTTCACGAACTCTCACACATTTTCAGGCAACTCTTCTTAAGGTGGGCGTCCTGTTATCAGATCCACTGGCAACCGAAGTTCCCGATCAAGCATCAGTGTATCCAGTGGCTTCATGCTCTGCTGTTCTATAGGCCATCAACAGTGGAGGGAGTAAGACATCCCAGTCATCTTGGCGGCTATTACAAAACTTTGCCAATTCCTGTTCAATTGTATATTTCTACCATCCCATCAGACAGTGGATGAAGTGGCGTTGTCTTAGTCTTTCGTATGCCAAACAACTTGCAGCATTACTAAAACACAGCTGCAGTTCATATGGCATACTAACCCTGAAGAAGAAATTACTAATAGCTGAAGCTACAGTTGTAGCTTCCTGATTTGGTATTGCATACGCCTCAG